ATCTTCCTGTACTTTCCACTTCTGACCCTAATGCACAAAACTCCCTCCCTTGTGTAACGCAAATTCCTCCAAAAACTCACTTCTTCCAAGAGGCCTGCACCCACTGGCTTATGTCTGTATTGTGCAATCATCTGCCATGTAACACCCTTCCCGTCCAGACAAGAACACTAGAATTTCTCTGTGACTTACAGATCTTCTCTGGGTCCCCTCTCTGTACAGGCATTTAGCAGAAAACGCATTTAAAAATAACAATAATAATAAAGCAGTGCACCAAATCTATTTCCTGCGGGTTTTTTCATATTTGTATATCAAATGAATTGGCTACAAGGTTTTTATTCAACTGCTCAATGGATGATAAGCGAGGTTTGGCTCTACTATAATTGTTTTTCTGTACTGTCATTTGATTTTAGGCTTTAAGTTACAACAGGCTAAAGGATGAGACAAGTTGTTCTTTAAAATTATAAGGCTCAGTTTTTAAACAAGTTAGGTGCCCTTTACATGCATTACATTACATTGCAAATGAAAATTGGGCACTTTTGTGTGGAAATAACCATAATTAATCATTTGCATTTGCAGTTAGTTGTTATGTGTAACAGCCATTCTAACTGCACATGTACGTTGGATATAAATTTGTTCACCTAATTTACTTATAAGCCAGGATTCTATTTGTTATTGATTCACTTAATAGTAAGAAAAATGTCTGCCATCACATCACCACTTTTCCAGTGGTCTAAGCATTGAACCTAGACCCAAGAATCTCTGACTGCTACTCCCAGCCCTGACTTTCCTCCACTGTTTTGGGAAAGTCACTCAGAGCCTTTGTGCTTTATTTCCACTACATATAAACCAAAATACTGGTGTTCACTTGGTGGGAGGGGGGAGAGGGTTAGTGTTTGAAGCATTTTGAAAATATAATTTGTATATTTATTTTGTTATTATTAGCTGGTTCTATGAAAAGATGTCAGAGGATGTGGGACAGCTTTTGAGATTTAGATAAACTTTTCTTAACCCATGAGCTTAGTGTCATAACCTACTGCTTCTATTAAAAGTTAAAGGGAGAAAAAAAATTGCCGTTTTATTAGAGTAGCAGATTGCATCCATTTTCTTCAAAGCACAGACGTCTTTCTTGCGAGGGAGATATTTTTGCTTTGGGGCCTGCCAACTTATACATATGTTTGCGATATAAGATTCTTTGCCAAATCTGTTTAGAGTTTCTTGGAACACTGGTCATGAGACACTATTACTCAGCAGTAAACTGGAAATCTGCCATTTCCTGTCTTGAGAATGCCGGTAAAAGGAGGAGAGAAAGAGGAATTCATATCTTGGAACAGTTTGTCTTACTTTTCAGCTGCAGAAAATTCCATTCAAATCCAAAGGCATGTGTGTACTTTTGTCATTTTCTGTTACTCTGCATTCACGCATGTTTTGCTTCTTTCCACGTTGATCATACTGTTCCAGACTTACAGTTCCCATGTCAAATAGATAGAAACGCATGCCCTTTATAGTCAGGTAGACAATAACTGCTATAGTTAGGACCATATAACAGTTTCCATTCTAGCTATTTTTCAGTCACTCATACTCTCTGAACCTTTAACCTTTAACATGAAAATTTCCCATGTTTATTCTGAAGAAAGATAATCTTGTTTAAAGTCTGAGCAAAGACCTTTACTTTTTTATTGCATATGAAACAAGTGGGAAAAGTATTATAAAAATCATGATTTTTGAACAGCTGAACAACATGGCAAAGGAGAAGATGAGCACAGTGCAGCCTATCTTATAGTGGGGTGCAACTTTTGCCAAAATAAGTAACAGTTCTTATTGTAATGAGTCTAGATGTAATGAGTGCCAAAGATGTGGTTTTCTTTACAGAGAGAAAGAGATTGTTTTTTCCTTCTGTGGGACTAGGGACCTTACTTACCTGCAAAGGATGCAGAACGTCACATATACTGAATTCCCTGAAACGGACGGCAAACAAAGCACTAATCACATTTGCAAACCTTCCCCAGCACTTGATAAAGCCAGTGCTTGGCAGAACCTGGCTGCAGCCAGCCTCACCTTTGTACACGCATGTATACTGGCACGCTTCTAAAATATACAGGAAAATAATTTCTTAACTGTGGCAATCATTTAATGAGTTTCTTCTAAAGCAGAATTGTGGCTCTCTCAGGCAGCTTGTTCTTGTCTTGTGCTGTTGATGAAACTCAACCCCAGTTTATTCTACTTTGGCAGTGACGTGAACAAGAGAGGATACTGAGCTATCAGCGGCAAAAATGATTCCCTTGTCTTCCTGACTTCTAACTCAAAGAACCCTTGCAAAATAAACCTCCCCCACCAAATGATTTATTCAAAGAAATTCTCTTCCCGCAAACATGTCACGCAAAGGAAAGCAGGAGACTGGGAACAGAAATAACCTGCCAACTATGGCTTTTGAAGTTGTCAACAGGGCAGCTGCAGTGCACAAATAGAAAATGTAAGAACATAAAAAGCACAATATTCAATCAGCCTTCAAGTTCAGTATCCTATCTGTGCCAAATGCATCTGATCGAAAGGACACAGATTTATTCTCAAGCAACTAACATGATGTTGAACACAACTTGTCCCTCTGTCTACCAGCTGCAAAGTCATGGTCAACGCTATGTTAGTTAACATGATTCCTCATGAGACTGCTCATACTCTGATGAAAACAAGCCCTCACCATTTCTAATCCAGAGCAAGACCTTCCACTCCACAGACTTAATTCCTGAGCAGCGTCTTGAAGGATTTGTAAAAGGCTTTTTGAAAGTCCCAATAAATGATGTCACCTACTATTTAATTTATAACCCTGTAGAATTATAACATTTTAAGAAGGCATGTTTTTCCTTTTCAGAAATGGTGCTGTTTTGTACCTATCAAATCACAATCAGGTGTTTGATAATGCTATACTTAATTGTTGTTTCAATCAATTGCCTGATACTGAAGCCAGGGTCAGTGGGCTGTAATTCCTGGGATCAGTCCTGACCCTTTTTTATAGACTAGTGTGATAATTGCTTGCTTGCAGTTCTCTGAGTTAGTAGTGGATTTGCATGTTTTTGTAGGTAGATCTGCCGTTTATATTCTTAAATCCTTTCAGGACTCTGGCTTGAACCATGTAGCCCTGGAGACTTGTTTATCCTCAGTGCACTGGCTTATTTCAGTACACTCTCTTTTGACACTTTGGTTTCAAACATTGCCTCATTTTTAGTACCTGAAAAGAGCCAGCCCTCTGTAGAAATCTCTCCTACAACTCTGTAGCAAAAACTTTTGCAGAAAAAAACAAAACAAAACTCTTGAGCATTATGTTTGTCGTCCTATTTTGCTGCCTTTTATACAAAACAGCAGAAGACAAAGAACACGCTGGGTGTGCTAAAATCTAAAGCCAGGATAAAGGTAGAAAGAATAGTTCCCTTTGACCGGTTTTTAAACTTAACTAAACTTTTATTCTTCTCTTTTGGCAGCGTCCCAGAGCTGATCTTCCTTCAGGACAGGACCTGACCAGTGGTAATGATGGCTAAAAACTTGAATGCTGCAGTTTGGACCCTTTTCTTGTCATGTGCAGCATATAATGGTATGTTTGCCAGTATTGTCACTTAATGCATTTTAAAGTAATTTATCTATCAATAGTATTTAAAAGTGAGTAAAAAGAATTAGCAAGCATATTATCACCACAGATCAGTGGTATAACAATTAAATAATCAAAGTCTTAATAAAATGCCTGATTGCACATATTAGCAACATTTATATGTTAGAATAGATTCCCAGGTCTTGTGTCTTTTTCTTCTAAAATTTTCAGTATGCAAAGAACAAACTCAGGAACTTAGGGCAGAAATAGAGGTTTGAGTGGCCGCTGTTTTAGTTCCCCTGTTATTGCAACTGGCTTGCTGATCTAATCCGTCGTGTATGTTACGTACGGTGCTCGCATTGCTGCAGTCTGAGTCTCGGCAACATTGTCCCCTGCTGGCCCAAGGATAACTTCATGGAGATCTGCTCCAGAGAGAGATGGCATTACACTCCCGGCGAGTTCTCTCCAGACGAGGATGGCTCAGCGTGTGACAATGCAGCCTGCCACCAGCAGCACAAATTCAGAGGCAGATGTACTGACCAGGAGGAGAGGGAGCCAACAGCCCCTGCCTAGCACAGCGGCTTCAGATTTGTCTGAGGTTCCAAACTGGGCGGTTTTGACCTTTCTCACAGCTTGTGTTTGGGGGAAATATCTCTTGGAATGTGTTTTCAGTGCTGCCCAGCCCAGCCCAGCTGGTGTTACTTGAGGAAGAATAACCTAACCCCAAGTACAAGACGTGTCCATTGTGTCTTAAACCCTTAGTGCTGCTCCCTGCTTGGTGATTACCCACCTAAGATCCTGTCTGCTTCCACAAAGGTCCAGTTGACCTAAGAGGAGGTGAATTGGCCCTATTGGTGCAGGCGTTCTTCTTCTAGATATCCGTTCTGTTATTTCACTGGGGATTGGAGTTGAACTGAAGAGCAGATCGTTGTCAGGAGCACACCTTTATTCTCTTTAAAATCGGTGCCAGGTTTTGCTTTCAGTACAATTTTTTAGTAGCTCCACAGTTATCCATGATTTAAAAATACCTTTCTGTGGTACAAAAATTTCATTAGCTAACTTCTGTGATATCCATGGGGCCGCCTGCCAATGATATCAGTGGGAGTTTTGCCATTGAACTGAAAAGAATGCTCAAACCCCAGAAGTACATATTCTCTGTGCCATATAACTGGAATAATCTGAGAATTATTTTATTTTTTTGTATCTTGGTTTTCCCGCTCTTTTTCAATGTTTAGTTTTTACAGATTTTTTTCCTTGTAATTACCTTCATGTTTCAAGCTTCTTCATTATATTTTTTCTAGTTGAGGATGAAAAAAGAAGTTCAGTATCTCAGTTCCCTTTTTCAATTTTATGAACTGAAAGTAAACTTTGTACTGTATGTGGTTTCAAAAGGAAATTCTAAAAGATCTGAGGTTTTTTAAAAAAATGAACAAAAGATGGAAAAGGGGGAAGGTAACAAGAAAAGAATATGGACAGTATGTTAAGAGTTATAGGGAAACAGTAAGTATGGCAAAAGACCAAATGAATCAATGCTGTTAGGCAAAGCATTTTAAGATAATAGGAAAGCCTTTTTACAGCTCAAGAATGAAAATAAGCCCATTTAACGTAAGTGGAGAATTAAGTTAATGGGAGTAAAACATGAGAATAAAAATACAGTTGAGATAGTGAATCCTTCTTTTAAAATTCTTTCTTTTAGAGGATAAATAAAACAATTTAGACAATAAAAATGAAAGAAAATCCTGTAAATTATCAATAGGGTAAGGAGTAGGTAAAGAGTATTTTTAAAATCTAAACCTATACAAATGAAATAATATCACTTTAGGGATAGGAAGGAAATTTCTATATTTCTGATATAGTTGTTTGTGGAGAATCACTGACAGCGCAGAAATAACTGAAGACAACAGGGACGTGAGTGTGACACCGATGTTCAGAAAAGGAGGAGAAAGAGTCTAGCGATCGTTTATCCATAAGACAACTTCTACCCCAGTGCAATTAAACAAAATGTTCTTTAGGCACTTAGAGAATGGGGCTGCGGACAGGAAGCAGTTGTGGGGTTTATAGAGCA